TCCAGAGCGACTTACAAATTGGTGCATTCACCTTATAGCCAGTGGGATAACCACTTTACAAGTTTTTTTTTTTTTTTTTGGTGGGGTAAGGGGGGGGGGGGGGGGGGGGGGGGGGGGGGGTTAGAAGGATTACTTTATCCTATCCCAGGTGTTCCTTAAAGAGGTGGGGTTTCAAATGTCTCCGGAAGGTGGTGAGTGACTCCGCTGTCCTGGCGTCGTGAGGGAGCTTGTTCCACCATTGGGGTGCCAGAGCAGCGAACAGCTTTGACTGGGCTGAGCGGGAACTGTGCTTCAGCAGAGGTAGGGGAGCCAGCAGGCCAGAGGTGGATGAACGCAATGCCCTCGTTTGGGTGTAGGGACTGATCAGAGCCTGAAGGTACGGAGGTGCCGTTCCCCTCACAGCTCCGTAGGCAAGCACCATGGTCTTGCAGCAGATGCGAGCTTCAACTGGAAGCCAGTGTAGTGTGCGGAGGAGCGGGATGACGTGAGAGAACTTGGGAAGGTTGAACACCAGACGGGCTGCGGCATTCTGGATGAGTTGTAGGGGTTTAATGGCACAGGCAGGGAGCCCAGCCAACAGCGAGTTGCAGTAATCCAGACGGGAGATGACAAGTGCCTGGATTAGGACTTGTGCCGCTTCCTGTGTAAGGCAGGGTCGTACTCTCCGAATGTTGTAGAGCATGAACCTACAGGATCGGGTCACCGCCTTGATGTTAGCGGAGAACGACAGGGTGTTGTCCAGGGTCACGCCAAGGCTCTTCGCACTCTGGGAGGAGGACACAACGGAGTTGTCAACCGTGATGGCGAGATCATGGAACGGGCAGTCCTTCCCCGGGAGGAAGAGCAGCTCCGTCTTGCCAAGGTTCAGCTTGAGGTGGTGATCCGTCATCCATACTGATATGTCTGCCAGACATGCAGAGATGCGATTCGCCACCTGGTTATCAGAAGGGGGAAAGGAGAAGATTAGTTGTGTGTCGTCTGCGTAGCAATGATAGGAGAGGCCATGTGAGGATATGACAGAGCCAAGTGACTTGGTGTATAGCGAGAATAGGAGAGGGCCTAGAACTGAGCCCTGGGGGACACCAGTGGTGAGAGCACGTGGTGCGGAGACAGCTTCTCGCCACGCCACTTGGTAGGAGCGACCGGTCAGGTAGGACGCAATCCAAGAGTGAGCCGCGCCGGAGATGCCCAGCTCGGAGAGGGTGGAGGGGAGGATCTGATGGTTCACAGTATCAAAGGCAGCAGACAGGTCTAGAAGGACAAGAGCAGAGGAGAGAGAGTTAGCTTTAGCAGTGCGGAGAGCCTCTGTGACACAGAGAAGAGCAGTCTCAGTTGAATGACCAGTCTTGAAACCTGACTGGTTTGGATCAAGAAGGTCATTCTGAGAGAGATAGCAAGAGAGTTGGCTAAAGACGGCACGCTCAATAGTTTTGGAGAGAAAAGAAAGAAGGGATACTGGTCTGTAGTTGTTGACATCAGAGGGATCGAGTGTTGGTTTTTTGAGAAGGGGTGCAACTCTCGCTCTCTTGAAGACGGAAGGGACATAGCCAGCGGTCAAGGATGAGTTGATCAGCGAGGTGAGGTAAGGGAGAAGGTCACCGGAGATGGTCTGGAGAAGAGAGGAGGGGATAGGGTCAAGCGGGCAGGTTGTTGGGCGGCCGGCCGTCACAAGTCGCAAGATTTTATCTGGAGAGAGAGGGGAGAAAGAAGTCAAAGCATAGGGTAGGGCAGTGTGAGCAGGACCAGCAGTGTCATTTGACTTAACAAACGAGGATCGGATGTCGTCAACCTTCTTTTCAAAATGGTTGACGAAGTCATCCACAGAGAGGGAGGAGGGGGGGGGGGGGGGGAGGATTCAGCAGGGAGGAGAAGGTGGCAAAGAGCTTCCTAGGGTTAGAGGCAGATGCTTGGAATTTAGAGTGGTAGAAAGTGGCCTTAGCAGCAGAAACAGATGAAGAAAATGTAAAGAGGAGGGAGTGAAAAGATGCCAGGTCCGCAGGGAGTCTAGTTTTCCTCCATTTCCGCTCGGCTGCCCAGAGCCCTGTTCTGTGAGCTCGCAATGAGTCATCAAGCCACGGAGCTGGAGGGGAGGACCGAGCCGGCCGGGAGGATAGGGGACATAGAGAGTCAAAGGATGCAGAAAGGGAGGAGAGGAGGGTTGAGGAGGCAGAATCAGGAGATTGGAGGGAGAAGGATTGAGCAGAGGGAAGAGATGATAGGATGGAAGAGGAGAGAGTAGCGGGAGAGAGAGAGCGAAGGTTGCGACGGCGCATTACCATCTGAGTAGGGGCAGAGTGAGTAGTGTTGGAGGAGAGCGAGAGAGAAAAGGATACAAAGTAGTGGTCGGAGACATGGAGGGGAGTTGCAGTGAGATTAGTAGAAGAACAGCATCTAGTAAAGACTACAGATGTGTTGTTGCCTACACTTACCACCTGGGGGCGGCAGTCAGGAAGTCCAGGATCCAGTTGCAGAGGGAGGTGTTTAGTCCCAGGGTCCTTAGCTTAATGCTGAGCTTTGTGGGCACTATGGTGTTGAATGCTGAGTTGTAGTCAATGAACAGCATTCTCACATAGGTGTTCCTTTTGTCCAGGTGGGAAAGGGCAGTGTGGAGTGCGATTGAGATTGCGTCATCTGTGGATCTGTTGACTCCTCATTAATCCTCAGTCTCGTGTTTATATGAGGCTTCATCCCATCCCAGAGTCATATCCCTATTAGATGAGAGTCAACAAGAGTTCAACATAAGTGTTTTGAAGTAACTGGCCCTGGGGTTGCCATGGCAATGGATGGAAATTGATTCGTAACGGACTGGCTGCTGGTTAGTCGGGTTCAGACTAGGTTTCATGTCCCATCCCCCCATTCTACAACCATCCATCTGCTGGAGTCCTGTGACAGTTCCAACTATCTAATAACTCACAGACAATCTCACTCTCTGGTAGCCTAGCGGTTAAGAGTGTTGGACTAGTAACTGAAAGGTCGCTGGTTTGAATCTCAGAGCAAGCAAGGTTGAAAAATTATCCCCTTGAGTAAGGCAGTTAATCCCCAACAACTACTCCTGGGCAGTGATTATGTCGATTAAGGCAGCCCCTGCACCTCTCTGATTCAGAGGGATTATGTTAAATGCAAAATACACATTTCAGTTGTACAACTGACTAGGTTTTCCCCTTTATAGTAACCTAATACTTACTTTGCCATAGCTATTGTTGTTTGGATGGGTACTTTACCCAGAACTCGTTGGGCTTTTTGACCATGCCCAACACAGACTTCTTTCTCCAGGTCCAATTGCCCTCTTTTTGGGCTAAGCAGTCATTAAGTCTGATTGAATCAGCTGCCATCACTTACAATAGGGCTTTATGAGCTGTGACTTGTAGAAGAGGGAGTGGTGTTATTGTTGTAAAGAGGCTGCAATCCAACTGGCTGCCTCTGGTCTTACTCTGATGCATAGCTTCCTTTATAGTTGATCACAGTTAATAATGGTAGTGATCGTGATCGATTAATAATGTGTGCGTGTTATGTTGCCATGCTCCTGTGTGTGCCTGTGTGTCTGTCCAAAGAGAAGCACTCCAACCCACTGATAGATGTGGCCTATAGGTCTTATGCATCCATCTGTAGCCTGTCAGTGACATCATGGTCAGAAACACTAGGGGGGGACAAAGAGGTGGAGATGTATAGCTGCTACTGTTCAGCCCTGAGGCCCCAAAGTTGCTCCTATTGGCTAGCGCACTGTAATGGTGTCACTTGTTGACTGTTTAGTAATAATAATATAATAATAATATGCCATTTAGCAGACGCTTTTATCCAAAGCGACTTACAGTCATGCGTGCATACATTTTTTTGTGTATGGGTGGTCCCGGGGATCGAACCCACTACCTTGGCGTTACAAGCGCCGTGCTCTACCAGCTGAGCTACAGAGGACCACAACCTACACTGGCATTCATTATGTATCCATGACTACAAGGACAAACAGTTGGTGGATTTTCAATACTTATTCTCATAAGGTCAGCTGTTGAATAAGAATTAATCTAATAATGCATTTAGTTATTATAACGTTATTTTGTTTCTACTCCCCTCTGTTTTCTCTCCTACTTTTGTCTTCAGTATCTCACAATAGTTTGGAGATACTGTGGTCAATGTAGCTCTCCAATAATTGATTAACTGTTCTTGACTTCTATTTGATGTACCTAGATAAGACAAGAGAGAGAGACAAACCTAACTAACTTGCTCTTTTCTTAGTGTGTTATGTAATTGTACCCATTTCCATTTTGACTCAGACAAGGAGAAGACAAAAGAGGAGCAGAGGAACAGAGATGGGTGTGAGACGCTCCTAGACGGTGCTGCTGTCACACACAGAGTGGCGGGGGGCCAGTCAGAGTAATACCAATAAATCCGGAGGGCTTAGTGGGATATTTTGGACGCCAAGGGAGACGGAGTGCCACACAAGAACACAGCTACTATCTGACCCTCTCTCTGTCCCAGTTTTCTCTGTCCCTCTCTTTTTCTGACACTATTAGTCACCAACTAACAGGGACGGGGGATGGAGTAAAAGAGATCTCATTCCTTCACCTCCCTGCTTTTCTTCTTCCCTTTCAATCACACTCTGTCCCCATCTGTGTCTGTGTGACTGAGCATGTGTGGGAGGCAGGTTTGATTTGGTGGCCAAGCTCTGTCTCACCAAATCCTATTCAAACAAGTACGAGGGAGAGAGAGAGAGAGAGGCCAGGAGACATTTGCAGCTGAGTGGACGAGCACAAACAATCCCTGGCACACAGCTTTTGAGTATCACATAAACCACCCTCCTCTCTCTCTCTCTCTCTCTCTCTCTCTCGCTCTCTCTCTCTCTCTCACTGACGCTCTCATCCTCTCTCTCTCTCTCTCTCTCTCTCTCTCTCTCTCTATCTCTCACTCTCTCTCTCTCTGTCGGTCCCTCTCTCTGTCCCATTCAGTGACCGGACCGTCCCCCCCGCCCCTCTCTGTGTACTCTCTCTCGGGATGGGGGGGTATCTATCCCTATAAAAGGCATGTGTGTGCCCTGACGGCTTCATTCCCTGCCATGGAGAGTCAGAGAGTCCTGTCGTCTTACAGGAAGCGTTTCGGGCACCAGGGGGCCGGCAGCGTGGGTGGGGGCTTGCGGCTCAGCAGCCTCTCCTCCAGCCGCCTCTCCCTCCATGGGAGCCCCCGCCACATGACCCACTCCAGCACCATTTCCCGCCTCTCCCTGGGGTCAGCTGGAGGGGCCCTGCTCCTGGGGACCCCTGGGAACCGGCTGGACTTCTCGGCTGACTCACTCCTCAAGGCCCAGTATCGGGAGACACGCACCAACGAGAAGGTGGAGATGATGGGTCTGAACGACCGCTTCGCCAGCTTTATAGAGAAGGTGCGCTTCCTGGAGCAGCAAAACACGGTGCTGGTGACGGAGCTGAACCAACTTAGGGGGAAGGAGCCCAGCCGTCTCGGGGACATCTTCCAGGAGGAACTGAGGGAGCTGCGCAGGCAGGTGGACGGATTCAGCGCTGGGAAGGCCCGGCTGGAGATAGAGAGGGACAACATGGCTGCTGACGTGGCCACGCTCAAACAGAGGTGAGAATGAGGCAGTCTCATTTCCATCACTAGACTTTGGCACTGATCAGTCTACTTTGTTTTAGTATTTTGGTGTTCTAATTGATATTGTGGTGTTCTAATTGCTTCAGCAGTCTGTCCACTTAACTGTTTATTCGTAATTTGATTTTGTGGAATCCTAGTGTATGGCATGTGGCTTGTTAATTTTGAATTGGAATCTTTGCTACAGTCTAAAAGCAACAAGTGGATAGTTGCCATAACACAATTCAGTATACCTGAATATCCTGTTACATGATAAAATTGCTCAGTAGATGCTTTGGTTTGTTAGTTATTGAAAACACTGTGGTCTGAGAAGGCTCTACTCATGGGTGTCCCTCTTTATAAACTTGATCCAGACCAGACCCCTACAGCCAGTCAATGAGTGTGGTGGAATGGAGGAAACAAAATAGTGCTGATTTCCACAAAGAGACCAGGGAGCCAGGCAGATGTTCTGTTGTTGCCTGCTCCCCCTTTATACTCATTCATAAAATACATGCTTATTAATGCTGTTTATTGCTTAAGTGGCATAGTTTATAGTTATGAGGTTATAGTTTATGTTTTCACAGGGTGTTTTTTTGTTGATGCAAAGGGCAAAGGGAACATCTAAGTGTGTAATGTTTTCAGAGCCTGTGTATACTATGGACCAGAGACATGTGTGAGAGTCACTGCTCTCTGATTACAGTTCTTTTCAATTGCTTTGGTGCAGTATGTGATATATTTTCACAACACTTAGTACAAAACTCAAAACAGATCATCAAAAAGGCAGTTATTTCAAAACTCTAAGCACATTTTCAATTAACTAAGTACAACATAAAATCATAGTCACTTTTTCACCAAACTTAATCAGTGTTTCATCTGTAAATACATGTTTCACATTCACAATGTAATACATGTTCATATAAAGTAATTGCTTTTCACAATGCAATGCTCACTTTACTTTTGATTGTCTTCTCATTTGTTAAAATAAATCTTACTATTACTTAATCCGACTGCTCTTAATTGTTAATCACTTAACCGTTTGGTAAACCTATAGATTTTTTACCGTTTTTTCTACTACAGTTTTAGAGAACTACATAATGAAAATGTATGTTTGTAAAGTATAAACATATAAAGTATGATATATACTGTAATGTACTATTATGATGATGAAGCATTTATAAGCATTTTATAAGCATTTCACTGCACAAATCAAATCAAATCAAATTGTTTTGACAACAACAGGTGTAGATTAACAGTGAAATGCTTACGGGCCCTTCCCTACAATGCAGAGAGAAAGAGTGAAGTGGCACTATGAGGAAGATAACTTGGCTATATACAGTGGGGAGAACAAGTATTTGATACACTGCCGATTTTGCAGGTTTTCCTCCTTACAAAGCATGTAGAGGTCTGTAATTTTTATCATAGGTACACTTCAACTGTGAGAGACGGAATCTAAAACAAAAATCCAGAAAATCACATTGTATGATTTTTAAGTAATTCATTAGCATTTTATTGCATGACATAAGTATTTGATACATCAGAAAAGCAGAACTTAATATTTGGTACAGAAACCTTTGTTTGCAATTACAGAGATCATACGTTTCCTGTAGGTCTTGACCAGGTTTGCACACACTGCAGCAGGGATTTTGGCCCACTCCTCCATACAGACCTTCTCCAGATCCTTCAGGTTTCGGGGCTGTCACTGGGCAATACAGACTTTCAGCTCCCTCCAAATATTTTATATTGGGTTCAGGTCTGGAGACTGGCTAGGCCACTCCAGGACCTTGAGATGCTTCTTACGGAGCCACTCCTTAGTTGCCCTGCCTGTGTGTTTTGGGTCGTTGTCATGCTGGAAGACCCAGCCACGACCTATCTTCAATACTCTTACTGAGGGAAGGAGGTTGTTGGCCAAGATCTCGCGGTACATGGCCCCATCCATCCTCCCCTCAATACGGTGCAGTCGTCCTGTCCCCTTTGCAGAAAAGCATCCCCAAAGAATGATGTTTCCACCTCCATGCTTCACGGTTGGGATGGTGTTCTTAGGGTTGTACTCATCCTTCTTCTTCCTCCAAACACGGCGAGTGGAGTTTAGACCAAAAAGCTATATTTTTGTCTCATCAGACCACATTACCTTCTCCCATTCCTCCTCTGGATCATCCAGATGGTCATTGGCAAACTTCAGACGGGCCTGGACATGCGCTGGCTTGAGCAGGGGGACCTTGCGTGCGCTGCAGGATTTTAATCCATGACGGCGTAGTGTGTTACTAATGGTTTTCTTTGAGACTGTGGTCCCAGCTCTCTTCAGGTCATTGACCAGGTCCTGCCGTGTAGTTCTGGGCTGATCCTTCACCTTCCTCATGATCATTGATGCCCCACGAGGTCAGATCTTGCATGGAGCCCCAGACCGAGGGTGATTGACCGTCATCTTGAACTTCTTCCATTTTCTAATAATTGCGCCAACAGTTGTTGCCTTCTCACCAAGCTGCTTGCCTATTGTCCTGTAGCCCATCCCAGCCTTGTGCAGGTTTACAATTTTATCCCTGATGTCCTTACACAGCTCTCTGGTCTTGGCCGTTGTGGAGAGGTTGGAGTCTGTTTGATTGAGTGTGTGGACAGGTGTCTTTTATACAGGTAATGAGTTAAAACAGGTGCAGTTAATACAGGTAATGAGTGGAGAACAGGAGGGCTTCTTAAAGAAAAACTAACAGGTCTGTGAGAGACGGAATTCTTACTGGTTGGTAGGTGATCAAATACTTATGTCATGCAATAAAATGCAACTGAATTACTTAAAAATCATAAAATGTGATTTTCTGGTTGAAGTGTACCTATGATAAAAATGACAGACCTCTACATGCTTTGTAAGTAGGAAAACCTGCAAAATCGGCAGTGTATCAAATACTTGTTCTCCCCACTGTACATGGGGTACCAGTACCAGTACTAGTACCTGCGATAACATCTGCAAATCTGTGTACGCCACCAATACACTTTGATTTGACTATTATGATTTTACTTCACAGTAAAACATTTATAATCTGATATTGACAAGATCAGAGATGTTCTCTGCCATACAATTGAAACCAGCAGTAACTACACATTTGGTCAAATTGAGTTAAGACTGAAATCAGGCTTTCTAGTCTCCTGGTTCAATTATCTTCCGTTTCAAAGAAAATTGAGTTTCAAATTTGCAGTAACTACACTATCCAAGTAAAAACCAACGCAAACAGCAGTAAGTGAAGTTACTAAGTGAAGTTACTGCGGTTTGCCTTGGTATTCTATCGGGCTCCGAGTTCAGGCCATCCCGATCATGACATACCCTCACACACATCATGAGACAGTCAAAAGTTGGATAAACACATTTAGATTGTAGATACTGCACTTTGCTTTTGCATTACCCATATAGTTGTTTAAGGTCAGACAAAGGCAGAGTACAGTATCAGCATTTTAGGGGTCATAGGTCAGATAAGTGTTCATGGTTATATGCATAAAAAATGACTTAATAATAAAATAATATATCAGTGCATTATCACGTATCTACCTACAACATATTTGGCTGTAGAGCAAAACAAATACTTTATAGCCATGTTTCTCAGATTCACTGTTTGCGTAGACTGCTCTTTGCCTTAGTCTGCCTCCTGTCCCTCCTCTCACCATGGGCAAACAATGGCACTATACTTTGCATAGACCTGTTCTGCCTTAAAGTGGAACTGACATTATTTTAGCAACATGAAATCTTATTAAAATCTATTCATATACACCCCCAGGAAGAATATGACACATAAAAAAGCGAGCTCTTAGATATGGTCATTTTCACATAAATTAATAGAATGTTTGGGAATGACATATAGTAAGGCATTTGTGAAAATTCTATAGCAATATAGAGTGGGAAAGCAGCAGTGTGATTGGACAATTAATAGACACTGCAGTAAATAAAACTTAATAAAAACATCTGTCTCGTCCAGGACAGGAGTCTATGCAGACCGGTGCGCCATAGCCAATCAGAGTTACAGTAGGCCTATATGAAAATAAGTAATTTGCCACATGGGCCTGCCATCATTCCCTTTGAACTGGACTGTATGTTTACAGGCAGTAGCAACAGCACCACTTTAGACCATTAGAACGCATTAGCCAAAAGCCACAAATAACACATGAATGGATTTCTGCAAATATGTAAATACCACAGGAGTCCTATTGTTCAAACAACCATGAAAAGGTAAGCTCTCTCCATTAGTTGCCTATGCACATCAACAACTAATGCTAGCCAGAGCGAGATGAGCTAAAATCTAATGAGGGCACATTAGATAAACCCTCTCAAACTTTTTCAGCTAGTTGGTCATCAAAATTGCACTAATAAACGATGGGGAATAGTAGTCTGCTCGCCCTTATGCAGCTTGCCTGCCAATGCATGCTTGTCCCAACCCACGTTTTGACACTTAAATGGGAATTTGTCAAATACATTTGATTGACAACTAAGATATATGCTAACTGTGGATAACAGTTGTTCAAGTTTAGCATAGCTAGCTAGCTAGCAAAGCGATTCACATTTCTTGCTAGCTAACAAAATGAGGGTAAAAAGTTGGTCACTCAGCCACTCCAATGACATGACATCCTCCCAGCAGCTAGCTAGCTAACGTTAGGCTCCGTGTTTTTAGCTTGCTAAATAAATAGCTAGCTACATTAATAGATACGCTTGCCCAGGGTGTCAAACTCAATCAGTGCATGGGACATATTGAAAAAACACAACAAATTTGCGGGCCAGACATGGCCTATTTGTTTTTACAAAAAATCGTGCAACTGTGACCCAAACAGGCCATTGTTTTTAAAATATGGCCTTTATAATATCCACTAAGGATGCGGTATATAGTATTTTAACATATTAAAACAAAATTAGAGATAAATCATATTTGTCCAGCCTTTGCTGCTATGTTCGCAGATGTTGCTGCGACGCTAATCAAAAAGTATTTAATAACTTCAAATAACAAAAACGTTAGGTTGTTGTAACATTCAAACTCAAAACATGTTTTTCATTTTTTTGCACGGCATGGATCACCCGTGAGGTTGAATGCAGCATTGCTGTATGGTGCACTCAAAATGTATTGTAGTTGAGTAGCCAGCCTAGGCTACTGCTCAAATGTTGCTGTAATGGGCCTACATGTTTCTCCTTTGCATGGTGTTTCATTGCAGGTTTAGTTCTTTGGTTATTGTCAAGCTTTAAAAATCGAAGCCAGACTGCAACCTTTTAATAGCCTAGCTAGGACTGTGGCATGTGTCTGTATACTTTCTCTCATCTGCCAGCTGCAAACATGACACACGAAAGCAGCGGAATTGAAGTTGAATTCACTGATGCGAGCACATCATGCTATAATGTAATAAAATAGATGACTCAACTGTTGACTCATTTATACTTGCTTGTGTGTACTATGCGGCCCGCAGGCCTTTTGTTTGATACATGTGCGCTAGCCTATTAGCCACATTATGACTGACTTCTGATCATTGCCCGTGCTAGTTTGATTGTATTGACAGTCCCAGCCTACACTCGTCCCTTTTTGTTCGAAATATTGAGTCATTAAAACTGAAACAGTGCATCCGGAATGGGTGGAGGCAGCAAACAATGTACCAGGCCAGCTGTGATTTACAATCTGATAGTAATATTTTTTGGACTACCAAGACATTTATTATTATATTATACAGAACAAAAATATAAACGCAACATGTAAAGTGTTGGTCCCATGTTTCATGAGCGGAAATAAAAGATCCCAGAAATGTTCCATACACACAAAAAGCTTATTTCTCTCAAATGTTGTGCACAAATTTGTTTACATCGCTGTTAATGAGTATTTCTCCTTTGCCAAGATAATCTATCCACCTGACAGGTGTGGCATATCAAGAAGCTGATTAAACAGCATGATCATTACACAGGTGCACCTTGTGCTGGGGACAATAAAAGGCCACTCTAAAATGTGCAAATTTGTCACACAACACAATGCCACAGATGTCTCAAGTTTTGAGGGAGCTTCCAATTGGCATGCTGACTGCAGGAATGTCCACCAGAGCTGTTGCCAGATAATTGAATGTTCATTTCTCTACCATAAGCTACCTCCAACGTCATTTTAGAACATTTGGCAGTATGTCGGTCCAACCGGCCTCACAACCGCAGACCACGTGTAACCTGCGGGATCGTCTGAGACCTGCCACTCTGACAGCTGATGAAACTGAGGACTATTTCTGTCTGTAATAAAACCCTTCTGTGGGAAAAGCTAATTCTGATTGGCTGGGCCTGGCTCCCCAGTGGGTGGGCCTATGCCCTCCCAGGCCCACCCATGGCTGGGATTAATTGACTTTGTATCAATAGAGAATAGGCTGAAACTATGTTTTATCTGAGGTGCATGGATCCTCTGGGTGACCAGTGAGTGGACTTAGTGTGCACCCTAACCCTGCCTCACCTTTTATCTGTCTGTTTTCTCTTTCTCTTTCAATCAGACTGCAAGATGAGATGGTTCTTAGACAGGATGCAGAGAGCAACTTGAACACCTTTAGACAGGTGAGGTCCTTTCTCTCATAATTCGTATCAATTTCACTATTATTGACCATGTTCCTCTTTGTATGTGATCTTCACAGCCCGTCTTTTTATATGAGGAATATACACGTCACATTGACCTAAGGATTCTCTGTGTGTAGGACGTGGATGAGGCATCTCTGAACCGTGTCCAGTTGGAGAGGAAGATAGACGCGCTGCAGGATGAAATCGCCTTCCTCAAGAAGATCCACGAGGAGGTGAGCTTCAGCTTCCCCTCGTCTCTATGGCAATCTCTAGTCCTTACTGACCTCTGTTTCCATCTCTAAAGTAAATAGTGAATATTCAGAGAATGAAAGAGGTGACCTTTAACCTTTAAGACTGTGGTTGGTTCTCTATAGGAGCTGCGTGAGCTGCAGGAGCAGCTGATGGCCCAGCAGGTCCATGTGGATCTGGACGTGTCCAAGCCAGACCTGACCGCTGCTCTGAGGGACATTCGGGTCCAGTATGAGTCTGTGGCCTCCTCTAACATTCAGGAGACAGAAGAGTGGTACCGCTCCAAGGTCATATCAGAAAGCTTGGGCTATTGCACATACATGTACAAACATTACTGCACAGGCAGACACACTACCATACAGATAAACATGCATACAGCCAGGTGTTGCACAATGCACACATTGACAACACACTATAAGATACTTTTAAATTATCCTGTCTCTTCTTTTGTTGTTATGCACAGTTTGCCGACTTGACCGACGCAGCCACTCGGAATGCAGACGCCTTGCGATTGGCCAAACAGGAGGGCAACGAGTACCGCCGGCAACTCCAGGCCATGACCTGTGACATGGAGGCACTCCGTGGAACAGTGAGTCGTCCAATCAGAGCAGAGTGTGCTGTATCAACAATGAGACATGAGAAGACCATGAGTCCCATGACTCCCCTCTCCAACTGAACCATCTCTCCTCTTTCATCTCTTTCTAAACCTCTTCCCCCTTCCTTTCCTTCTCCCTCGCTTCCTCCTCTCCTGCAGAACGAGTCTCTGGAGCAGCAGCTGCGTGAGATGGAGGACCGTTTCTCCGTGGAGACGGCTGGTTACCAGGATACGGTGGGTCATCTGGAGGAGGAGATCCAGACCCTGAAGGAGGGGATGGCCAGACACCTGCAGGAGTACCAGGACCTGCTCAACGTCAAACTGGCCCTGGACATAGAGATTGCCACCTACAGGAAGCTGCTGGAGGGAGAGGAGAGCAGGTGAGGAGATTAGGGTGGAGAGGAAGGAGGGTGGTGGAGGGAGAAGAGGGTGGAGAGGAGAGGAGAGGAGGGTGGAGGTGTAGGAAGAGAGGAGGGAGGAGGGAAGGCGAGAGAGGGTGTTGGAGGGAACAAAGTGGAGAAAACAAAGTGGATCCAATGAGCTGGGTCAGGAGGAGACAGTGTGATGAAGAAAGGAAAGAAAATGGACGGTGGCTGGTAGTTACTGATACTCTCTCTTCCTCTTCCTCAGGATCACTGTTCCAATGCAGAGCTTCTCTAACCTGCAGTTCAGAGGTGAGTAAGGGTATCCCGACCCAGCCATATTAGCTTACTCTATCATGGCATTGAATAATTTACCCAAACCATATGAATGATGTGCTGATGCATAAATCTCAAGTTAGCATTCGGCTCTGACTGGATTCATGGGCATCTGAAAGCTAAAGGTCTCTCTCACCCTCTCCCTGAGTATAGAGACCAGTATGGACACTAAATTCTCTCCAGAGGCCCATGTCAAGAGGAGCATCATAGTGCGGACTGTGGAGACTAGAGACGGGGAGGTATGTAGAACATCATAGATCATTGAATGAACCCATGGGGGATTAATTGCCATATCAGATGCGTGAATGTGCTTGTATTTCCTGCTTAGCTCCTCCAGAGGGCAGCATGCTACATTGTATTATTCAATACATGCAATTTCACAAGCTTTCAGATCACTTACAGACAGTCCCTCCCTACTGTTGCATCTACAACCTAACATGCCCTGTTCCCTGTTCTCTGTGTTTCAGATCATTAAGGAGTCTACGGCTGAGAGGAAGGAGATTCCTGACAGTCCTTAAAGGACACATGGTGCTAGCTATGTCTGTCACACTGTCCCCACTCCACAGTAACGCTTGGAGGCCTTGCATGATAATGATACCCTTTCCTGACAAGGCACCTCCCTCTTCTCCAAACCTCAAAGTCAGTTGCTACCACCTCACCATCCCCTTCCTCCCCTCTTCATCATAATCACCCCCAGACCATGTTACATCATTAAATACTTAGGAGTTTTGTTGAAACTCAAAATAAATCCCTCATTGCATCTTTGTTAGCACTTTTGCCAAAAAGTATTATTTTTCTATTACTGTAACTGTAGCTTGAGTGTGCTTGTAGATAGGCTTTAGTGCTAGGACGTTTGGCCTTGCACCTTAGAAGGAAGGGTCTTGGACTACTACCCTTTGTGATTAACAGACTTCATGCTGGGAAATGTATTTTTTGTTCAGCTCATAATAGTGACAGATCAGAGTGGGAAATGTTCTCATTGTGTTTGGATAGTAGCCAGAGAGGAGGCCTTGAAATGTAGTGACTGTTATTCAGCTGGTGGCAGGGGTCATGCTGAAGTTGTGTGGTTTGAGTGGATGTGAGAAGTCAAGAGGAAAGTACAGTTGCTGGGGTTAGCAGTGGACAGGATGGGTCTCAGACAAGGAAGATGATGTGTGTTCGACAGTGCTTTTGGCAGAACTGTTGGTGAAAATAAGCTGATTTAACCCTCCTCCAGGGCCAAACACCATATCTATTTCATCCCTCCATCATACCCCCCCCCCCCCCATCAGTGTTCCATCTCCATCTCTCCATCACTCTCCTTTGTTCTCTCTGTCACTCAGTCTCTGCCCAGTCTCTGCTCCTCTCTGGATGCAGTGGCTCTAGTTCCAGTTTTCATTGCAACATCATATTTTAACACTAGAACAGTGTCTGGGCACATCCACTTACGCACCAGGGGTGAGAGGGACAGGATGGAGGTGAGACAGGGAGTTCAGGGAAGTATTGACAAGACCCTTACCTCTGAAACCCCCTGTTCCTCCCCCAGCCCCATCTCTGGAGTGTCAGTGATTGTAGAGAGCCACAAAAGAGGGTGTTGCTGAGATAGCGTGGTGGTGGTGGAGCGGGTGGTGTTACATGGTGTCTCCCTGACGACAGCCCTCTCCAAGAAGCCCTGTTGTTGTTCTTTGGAGGGTGGAGGAGAAGAGGAGGGTTGGAGGGTGGCTGTCACAACACTAACTGTTTAGCCCAGCTCTCTCCATCCGCGTAGAACCCCTGCTGACATAAACAAGCTGCCACCTACCATTCAGTACAGATGGTGCCTTTACAGACTGCTTTTCATTCTATCTGTACTAAAGACAAACCGTAACTGTCTTCCAATGTGCCTGCCTTTCTTTCACATCTCCCTTCCCTCTGCTTTGCCTTCATGTTTTCACCTGTCAGCTCTAGATACTATTTATTATCTTCTTGTCTGCATCTTACAGTAGCCACAGCTGAACCACACTGCAGTAGGTCGAAGAAAAAACTAAAAGATGTGAACATAACCTTAGTTTTGACCAACATTATGACAACCCATTAACAACAATAAAACCATGTTGTTTGATTAGTATTTGTGTCTGAATGAGTCTTTTGTGAATGACAGTTGAGTTTTTATTTGCTTTGTTTTGTCCAACACAAGCTGTTACTTGGATTAAATGTGTACTGTTGTATGATTGTGTGGGCTCATTAAATAAAGATAGATACAGTACCTGCTCACTGATGAATGCTACCCAGGGTATTTACCTTTTTTCATGAGATTATTTTATATACCCAGCACCTGCAAGATGTTGATGTGCGTACACTATGTTAGAAACTGGTTGTGTGGGCCGCCAGACTTCAGGAGGACAGTTGGAAACTTGTTGATTGGTCATAATCAATGGAACCCACATAGTCATAATCAACATGTGTCATTTATCATAATGATAATCATCCATCCATATGTAAGCTCCTATCTGTCATTAGAGGTATGTGGGAGAGATGATGACTGGCATGGCAGACCGCTGAGATTGACAGGAGTGGTCAATGTTCATCATCATCACTACGTTGGTTGTTGTCCAGTGGCGAGGGGAATTGAGGTGGGAGGGTTCGGCACCAAGGCCTAGATTTACTGCCATCGTCACTTGTCAGTGTCATTGTCAGTGCTCTGCCCAGGCCCCTACTGAAGCACTTAGACAGTATATTCTCTCACAGACGGGGTCAGACTGTAACACTGTTTTGGATGATCAAACAACCTATCCACACTTTCAGCCCTCAAGGACCTATCACTTCACTCCCTGCCCAGAATCTATGAGTCTTCCTGTAAGGAGAATGACTCAAAGAGAGATTATATAAGTGCTCTCAGTGGCCCCACACACACAACCTCACCTTCTACACTATTCTCTGGGGCCCTTCTGACAAACAGCCAGACAGGAGTTCAAGGAGGAAACATGCATATGTGTGTATGTATGTGGGGGGCAGGTCTATAGGAGTCCCAGTCACGCAGAGGCCATCCTTTACTCATCGCACAGCTAATGTATTTCTGTGTGTGTGTGTGTGTGTGTGTGTGTGTGTGTGTGTATCAGTGGAGGCTGGTGGGAGGAGCTATAGGAGGACGGGTTCATTGTAATGGCTGGAATGGAATTAATGAAACGTGTCAAACGTGGTTTCCATATGTTTTATGTGTTTGATACCGTCCTATTTATTCCGTTCCAGCATTACAATGAGTCCGTCCTCCTATAGCTCCTCCCACCAGCCACTACTGGTGTTTATGTGCAGATGTGTGTGTGTGTAGGCGTGTGTATGTGTGTTTGTGTGTGTGTGTGTGTGTGTGTGTGTGTGTGTGTGTGTGTGTGTGTGTGTGTGTGTGTGTGTGTGTGTGTGTGTGTGCAGTACTGTATGTGTCTGTTTAGCCTGGCTCTTATCAGTGGACTGGCTTGTCTCAGGTCTGGGATGGAGGTGGCCTCGAGCTGAAGGAATTCTGGCTAGATAAAACACTCACTCCACCAGGGTGTGGGCCCTGACGTCTGGCCCACTGCAACTTTTCCAGCCAATCTTTCAGAGGTGGGGGTAAGGACCGGTTACTATTAAAGGGCTTTTTCTCCTCAGCATCTATACGTACTGTAGAACTACGGTGAGAAAGGGGTCACAATGAAGTTATCTCAGGAGTGTACTTCTCAAAATCCCCTACACTTCATCAGTTCCCTTGTTGACCCCAAACATCACACAATCCTGTACACCCCACCCACAGCTTATTGACCCCAAACATCACACAACCCTGTACACCCCACCCACAGCTTATTGACCCCAAACATCACACAACCTTGTACACCCCACCCACGGTTTATTGACCCCAAACATCACACAACCCTGTACACACCACCCACGGCTTATGCACTCACAGGGCTCCTGGCAATACAGACCTCTTCACTCCATGAGAGAGGATGACTAAAATGACCCATCATTTGTACTCTAACAATCATTATAATGAGGATAATGAGTATGCTGCCGTCTTCTTTTCCCGACACTTTTTGAAACCAGTGTGTGTTTGTTTGTCATCTCTCTACGCTAACAGAATCCATAATGAGCTCCCCTAATGCATTTGATTGTACCAGCGCAGAACATCAAGCACTCTTCCTCATCAATCACTACTCCAGTACTCAGCTCTTATTATGTAAAGGTACACAGAGAACTAATGCTGGTAATAAGATGCTAGATGTGTGAGCATCACACACATGCCCTATCTCTTTGTTGCAGCCAGCACCCTTCTCCTCTCAGCCCCCTTGTCCTCTCCCCTCTTCACTACACATTCCTGCCCTACTCGGCCCTCTCACCAAAGGGTCATGGGAAGGCATGTGTGCTTGTTGGTTAATTTTAGCCCTAATTTCATCAAGCCCATTGAGACACAACACAGAACAACCACGTCAACCCCTCCACCAAACACCACCACCCTAAAGCAACTCTCTCTGTCTCTTTGATTCTCTAGCAGACTCCATAAACAACTGCAGTGACTTTTGACACACTAAGGCTACATTTACAGTGGGGGAAAAAAGTATTTAGTCAGCCACCAATTGTGCAAGTTCTCCCACTTAAAAAGATGAGAGAGGCCTGTAATTTTCATCATAGGTACACGTCAACTATGACAGACAAAATGAGAAAAAAATATCCAGAAAATCACATTGTAGGATTTTTAATGAATTTATTTGCAAATTATGGTGGAAAATAAGTATTTGGTCAATAACAAAAGTTTCTCAATACTTTGTTATATACCCTTTGTTGGCAATGACACAGGTCAAACGTTTTCTGTAAGTCTTCACAAGGTTTTCACACACTGTTGCTGGTATTTTGGCCCATTCCTCCATGCAGATCTCCTCTAGAGCAGTGATGTTTTGGGGCTGTCGCTGGGCAACACGGACTTTCAACTCCCTCCAAAGATTTTCTATGGGGTTGAGATCTGGAGACTGGCTAGGCCACTCCAGGACCTTGAAATGCTTCTTACAAAGCCACTCCTTCGGTGTGTTTGGGATCATTGTCATGCTGAAAGACCCAGCCACGTTTCATCTTCAATGCCCTTGCTGATGGAAGGAGGTTTTCACTCAAAATCTCACGATACATGGCCCCATTCATTCTTTCCTTTACACGGATCAGTCGTCCTGGTCCCTTTGCAGAAAAACAGCCCCAAAGCATGATGTTTCCACCCCCATGCTTCACAGTAGGTATGGTGTCCTTTGGATGCAACTCAGCATTCTTTCTCCTCCAAACACGACGAGTTGAGTTTTTACCAAAAAGTTCTATTTTGGTTTCATCTGACCATATGACATTCTCCCAATCCTCTTCTGGATCATCCAAATGCACTCTAGCAAACTTCAGACGGGCCTGGACATGTACTGGCTTAAGCAGGGGGACACGTCTGGCACTGCAGGATTTGAGTCCCTGGCGGCGTAGTGTGTTACTGATGGTAGGCTTTGTTACTTTGGTCCCAGCTCTCTGCAGGTCATTCACTAGGTCCCCCCGTGTGGTTCTGGGATTTTTGCTCACCGTTCTTGTGATCATTTTGACCCCACGGGGTGAGATCTTGCGTGGAGCCCCAGATCGAGGGAAATTATCAGTGGTCTTGTATGTCTTCCATTTCCTAATAATTGCTCCCACAGTTGATTTCTTAAAACCAAGCTGCTTACCTATTGCAGATTCAGTCTTCCCAGCCTGGTGCAGGTCTACAATTTTGTTTCTGGTGTCCTTTGACAGCTCTTTGGTCTTGGCCATAGTGGAGTTTGGAGTGTGACTGTTTGAGGTTGTGGACAGGTGTCTTTTATACTGATAACAAGTTCAAACAGGTGCCATTAATACAGGTAATGAGTGGAGGACAGAGGAGCCTCTTAAAGAAGAAGTTACAGGTCTGTGAGAGCCAGAAATCTTGCTTGTTTGTAGGTGACCAAATACTTATTTTCCACCATAATTTGCAACGAAATTCATAAAAAATCCTACAATGTGATTTTCTGGAAAAAAAATGCTCAATTTGTCTGTCATAGTTGACGTGTACCTATGATGAAAATTACAGGCCTCTCTCATCTTTTTAAGTGGGAGAACTTGCACAATTGGTGGCTGACTAAATACTTTTTTCCCCACTGTACATAGGCAGCCCAATTCTGATATTTTTTCCACTAATTACTCTTTTGAGCAATCACATCAGATCTTTTCACGTCAGAGGTTTTTCAGAGCTGATCTGATTGGTCAAAAGACCAATTAGTGAAAAGAAGATCAGAATTGGGCTGCCTGTGTAAACGCAGCCACACACACACACACACACACACACACGTTACCAAAGATACTGGCATACATCAGAGCTACAGGAGATGGAAGAGAGACATGTCAGAGACATCCAGCTAAAATGATAGGTGGTACTACATTTAAAGCAATGCAGCAATGCATATGAACACTCTCGACACACAGGCACCCCACAGCCACACACACAGACACGGACACAGACATAAACACACACACACGCACACCAATTCCATTAACACATCTAACTCCAGGCCATCAGACTGTTGGCACTTGGGCCCTCTCCTGTGTCCCTTCAATAATCTACACCTGCACCTGCTGCCACACTGTCATCATGTGCGTGTGTGTGTCTGTGTGGGTGTGTGCAAGTGTACGTCCAGGCCAGAGGAGGCTGGTGGGAGGAGCTATAGGAGGACAGGCTTGTTGTAAAGCCTGGAATGGAATTAATGGAGTCAAACGTGGTTTCCATATGTTTGATGTGTCTGATACCGTTCCATTTATTCCATTCCAGCCATTACAATGAGCCCGTCCTCCTATAGTTCCTCCCACCAGCCTCCTCAGGTCCAGGTCCTTGCCATATTGTTAATTAGCATTTAGTTTAATGGTTAGGTTGAGGCCCTGCTATATACTGTCATCAAAACATACCCAGACTGTGCCTCTTGTTAAGTTGAAGTGCCCTCGCTGTCACATAATTTTATGTGAATCTTCTCCAAACTTCTCAGCCGTCGCCAGTGTTATCAGTGACTGGCTCAGGGAGCAGCAGGGTGAACCACTCAATTAGTATTGGTAGCATTGCCTTTAAATTGTTTTAACTTGGGTCAAACGTTTTGGGTAGCCTTCCACAAGCTTTCCACAATAAATTGGGTGAATTTTGGCCCATTCCTGTATTTTATTTTACACTTTTTATTGGTGTATCTTTTCTTATCTGCCTCTTGTCACATGACATATAAATGGGCTGTCATTCACTAAGTTGGTTCAGTGGGTGTTTATGAGGAGGGGGGATGCCAATTCCCAGAATTGTGATCTTGTTTGTCTTTTTTTTGTATTATTAAAAGCCCAGTGTAGTCAAAAGCGTGATTTTCCTGTGTTGTATATATATTTCCACACTATGAGTTTGGAATAATACTGTGAAATTGTGAAAATGATGATAATGCCCTTTTAGTATAAGAGATGTTTGAAAAGACAGTCCTAGCAAAATTCTGTCTTGAGAAATTGCTCTTTGCTAAGAAGCTACTTTTGTTTCTTTTTGATCATTTTCATTTAAAACAATCACAGTAAAGTACTTAATTGTTACCCAGAAATGATTTGATATTGAGATAAAAATGGCTGCATTGGACCTTTAACTGTGTGGTCACTTATAGCATGAATTCACCAAGAAAGAAGGAAAATGAAACATTTACGGATCACGCACAAACACACTGGACTGACACCCTTCAACCAGTCAAGTATTGATATTAAAGAAGTGAAGAGGAGCGCTACAGAGGCCAAAGAGAGAGAGAGGGACTATTTTTAGAGTGGAGACTTGTGATGTGCAGTGAAGCCGTTGATGAGGGTGTCTCTGCTCACTGTCAAAAAGTGGCAGGCGCCTCTGGTTTGATGATGACTCCCCCTTCCCCCGCGCAGTGCTTGGTAAAACCTGTCAAATGGGGAGGGCGCTAGGGGTGTGTGCATCCGAGATTCGACAAATAGTAGCTTCTTCTACTGTCGGGATGAAACGTAGTGGTTAAGACTTCGATTTACACCTTTTCTTTCACTTCTCTATGATCTTGTTGATGGGGAGGGCGGTGTTGGTTTTTCTCCTTTTCATTAATGATGATAACGACTGGCAGAGCTAGACTAATTATAGAGCCTGTTTATTATTTTGTTGGCAAAGTGAAACGTTTTATGACTAATGAAATACAGTTTTTACACTTGCCTGTGTACGGCGCGCAAAAACCGGCTTCCAGTCCTCTCTCCTGTGGAGCGAGCGCCTTTTTTTTTTTTATCGCCCTGGCAACTGGTACTAGTGGCTGCTGCCTTGTGACATGTTCTTGTCGCTTTGCTCATCAGCCATCGCATATTGAATTCGCCTTTTTGCACCCGCCTGTACGCGGGGCCATTTTTGCATAGGGTATTTCCCTACGTCTTTTATTTGATTTATTTAAAACTCTGGAGGTTCATGCGTCGGAGAAGTCTAATCTTGCTGAGTCAAAATGCCTGTGAGACGCGGTCATGTAGCCTTCCAGAACACTTATCTGGATACCATTATCCGGAAATTCGATGGACAAAGTAAGTGGACACACTTTGCATTATGACTGAAAAAGTAATAACATAATGTGACTATGAGCAAGCTGTCATAACTGTATCATCCCAAAAACAAACAATTAGACTGGTTGGAAATTAAAATGTGTGCCTTTTCCATGTAGCCATTCAATCATGCAAAGTGTAATAAATGTAAAGACAAATGCATTTTTCTAGTGGTCCCTTGCATTGCACAGGTGTTACTGCATTACCCTGTAAGCCGCTCTCCTTCTATCTCTACATTTTGATTTACAGTTCAAACTTAGGTTATGTCCATATGCATGTACGGAATATACCAAATTGTCATGTTTAATACTATACGTGTGCGTGTGTGTGTTTAATATGTCTTTGCACCTGCCTATGTTTTCCGCATGTTGCATGAATTCACATGCTGCATTAGATTATATTGCATGAGTTGACATGTTCTCTGTCCCTACACTGGTCAGACCACTGGATCCTGATAGAAAGAGTACATTCTGTCTTTGCTTTACAGAGTTTGCATGTGACCACTGACCACTAAAACACACTCTGTTAGTGCATATAACTGAGTGATATCCTTCTTGAACAGGGCCTTATGCAGCACATCACAGCACACTTTACCCCCACAGTGCCTCTCTGTTTTCATGCTTTTGTCTTGAATTAAATGGTATCGTAGTTGACTATTGCTCACACAGAAACCGCACCAGAATTTCTTTGCAACTCACTCAAACAAAACATAACTGATTCATTCAGCAAAGAAGAAATCCAGTTGTTTTAAAAAAGAGTAATGGCTCTGATTAGCACTGAATTGCAATTACAGTAGAGGCCTATAACCTAGCTCAGAAGTGGCCTATCTCTATGCTACTGTAAGTCCGACTGTGCCTGTCACTGTCAGTGTTCTCTAGTCACAGTGTGAAGACAGTCTGTTGACCACAGAGGTACTGCTCAAAATAACCCTCCACCCGCTGCTCCACATTAAAGGGAGAAGATGCAATGTTCCACTTTTCACCTCCATTTCATGTTGAAGGATTTCAGCTTGTTTAATTTGCTGGGCTGGCAGGTGACAGTTCGGAATTAATTGTGTTACTCTGGGATTTTCAAAGCTCTCTGTAGAGGTGTCCTCAGAGACCGATAAGTCCCATCAAACTGATGTCTTCCTTATCTGTGTGTGCGTGCGTAAGCATAGCACGCGAGTGTGCCTGCCTGGTGATGCGTGTGCCAAACCACTGCTGCTTAGCAACAATCTGAATCTGGGTGTCTGTGTTCTGAGGCATTGATAATGACTTTGGATAAGATGTGCTTTCCACCAAACAACCTCACCTATTTACTCTACACAGAGGAACAAGGCGTGAGAAGGGGTTCTGCTTTTTCTGGGCGAAGCACTAAATCGCTCTCCTCTCATTTGTTTCAATGGGGAAGAATGAGAGTTGTGTAACTCAGTTTCACCAGGGGATAATAAGAGGAGTGGAGACAGTCAGAGGCACATACTTTTGAGCAGCATTTCAACATAAACTGTACTGATTGAATATCATGCTGTACAACAATATCAGTGTAGCTGATGGGACTTCGAAGGCAATTGTCATTAGCGCTGGAGACAATAGCCACACTCATGAACCTAGGTAAGGAAGGCTGAAACCTATTGTAGTATATTTTGATCTTGATTGCAGACCAGGGGAGTGGACTGAGGTAGACAGAGATGGAGCCTCAGAGGAACTGTCATTGCTGAGTCCAGCTGCTCCGTATTAGTCCCTCTGGGGCCATCTTGAATCATTGCACTGATATGATTTGTGCTACAGAGAGACAGGCTTGATTACTCCAATTTCAACTTGATGTTGAGGTGAATGTGGTTAGTTGAGTGGGATACTGAAGTTAACACAGTCCAGACTTGAATCGGATCTGATTGAGAGAGACCTCTCCTTGAAATGATCATTACCTGAATATGATAATTGAATGTTTCTGAAGTTGGATAAACTTTGAATGTCCGACTTTGCATATTGCATTTGCTGAAATAAGCCTTCAATTATAATTTTAATGTAATTTCCCACATTCCCACCATATTTGTCCATTTTCATATCTGCTCTGACCTCTACCTCTCCACTTGGTTTCCTACCCAGATCGTAAGTTCCTGATAGCCAACGCCCAGATGAAGGAACTGTGGCATTATCTACAGTAACGAGGGCTTCTGCCAGATGTTTGGCTTCTCGCGGGCAGAGATCATGCAGCAGCCCTGCACCTGCCAGTTCCTGGTGGGGCCTGGCACCATGAAGACTGCCCTGACACAGCTGGCACAGGCCCTGCTAGGGTCAGAGGAGCGCAAGGTGGAGATCCTGTACTACAACAAAGAAGGTAAGGAGAAGGTGGAGGGGTAGACCGAGATTCAGAGAGAAAGAGATGGAAAGAGCAAGGGAGTCAAAGTGACAACATTACTCCCCTTCGTTATAGTGGGGAGTGCTGTAAAGGTCACATACAGAATATTTTGGTCCCTCCAAGTGTCATGGCTGTCTCCCTCTCACTTTTATATATAATGCTACTGAATGATGCAGTGTTACAGTATGTGGAGTCAGTTGCTGCAGACTAGGTGAACTCTCATCTACTAATTTACTTGTCTCACCTGTAACATGTTTATTCATCCCCACTCCCCATTATCCTCCTGTGCATAGCTGCAGGAAGTAGTTTGGGGGTGGGGTGCTGCAGGGGGATGGGGGGATGCAGATTATAATTTTTTTGCTGCGCTACAGACGGCTACATAGGTCCGCTAATACAGGACAAGTAAAGGCACAGTGCACTACTTTTGTGATTTTTAAAATAAAAAATACATTTTAAAAACTTTTCTCGCGGCTATGCTCCTGTGTTTTGTCTCTGGTACACAGGACCAGGGGTTGGAAACAAAATTATTTTCCAATCGTTTCGTTCTGAACAGAACCATATATTATTTTTTGCGTTCCACTGTTCCGACCAGCAAAATAAAGTTTGCAACCGGTTCAAACCCCAAAAAAGTACAGTTTATATCGTTCCTTTCTGTTCCTTTTTATTTATTTTACATTTAGCTTGACAGTAAATTACTTCACCAGTTATGCAGTATGGATAGAGCAGCTTGCTATGGAGCGGGCAAGCTATAGCTCAGTGAGTTTATTTATATGCGTTATGGAAAGACAAGTGTAGGGCGTGAGATGCAACTGAAATTTTGCAAGTGGGGAGACAGCGAGAGAGGGTGGAGGAGAAGGAGGCTTGGTTTGAAGCACTGGGAATCTTGCGATGACATGCATTATCTGAATTAGGCCCACAGAATTATACCTACGGAGGAGCGGCTTCTATGGAGAAATGTTGAATGTCTTTGAACTTCAGTGTTGGCTTAACGTTGGACCAGAGTAGCTGGCTAGCTAACAAGCTTGTGCACCTGAATTAAAAACACATCTTACCTTTTTATAGTTAATAAATCCAATGTGAAATGTGATAACTATAGTATCCCTAACTAGCATTGAAAAGTTAATTTACATTTTAGTCATTTAGCAGACGCTCTTATCCAGAGCGACTTACAGTTAGTGAGTGCATACATTTTTCATAACAATCTCTCTCCCTATCTTCTGAATCATGTTTGTAACGTCAGTCTCCCGAGTGGCGCAGTGGTCTAGTGGCGCTGTGCCACTAGAGATCCTGGTTCGAATCCAGGCTCTGCTGTAGCCGGCCGCAACCGGGAGACCAATGGGGCGGCGCACAATTGGCCCAGCGTCGTCCAGGGTAGGGGAGGGAATGGCAGGCAGGGAGGTAGCTCAGTTGATAGAGCATGGCGTTTGCAACGCCAGGGTTGTGGGTTCGTTTCCCACGGGGGGCCAGTATGAAAATAATAATGTATGCACTAACTGTAAGTCGCTCTGGATAAGAGCGTCAGCTAAATGACGTAAATGTCAGTAGGCTACAGCTATGCTTCGAGATGGAAGGGCAGGTAGCCTACAAGCACACACATTGGCAAAGATTTTCAGCTGGCAGGCAGACACTGGAAGAAGTTAATGATTGACAGAGGGAGAGCTTTGCATAGGCACTTTGTTGCGTTTTTTGTGGGAATTTTAAATAACAGTTCTGTTCCAGAACAATATAGATCACTTTCGTTCCCGGTTCTGATTCTGTTCCTTAAAAATGTAATAATTTTTCAGTTTGGTTCCAACCCCTGCAAAGGACAGAGGGACAAGCAAACAGACCTGGCTAGTGAGGCTGTAGACACAATACCTTGGTCATTTGGGCATGAGAAGTGCCGTGTCGGAGAGCTTGTTGTCATGGAAATATTGTCAGCGTGCCAGCTCAAATACACTGAACATCTATTTATTTTGTATCCCACTAATGCATACAGTCATGAACGCAGGTGCGCACACAAGCACGTATCAATTGTAAATGGGTACAATTCATCATACCCATTAAAAATGCATTATGTTGCTGTACTTATAGTTAATTAATTGATCCTAAAACTGAATTAATGTGTTTGTTGGTTAATGTGTGTGTGTGAGTGTAAAACAGGGACATTTCGCCAGTCGCCACAAGGAAAATGGCTGTTTTAGGCTTAGGGGTTAGGTTTAGGGGTTAGTGTTACAATTAGGGTTAGGGGTTAAGAGTTGGAGTTAGGGTTTGGTTAAGGGTTAGGTTTAGGGGTTAGGAGTTAGGGAAAATAGGATTTTGAATGGGAATCAAATAGGCTTGGGCGGTATACCGCATATACCGTATACCAGGGTATTTGGAAATAGCCACAGGATGGTTTTTCAATACCGTCAATACCGTTGAAACTATTTATTTGAAGTGTTTCAATAAATTGTCATATTTGTGGCTACTTTTTAAGTAAATACCTGCAGTCAACTTGTGCAATACGTTAGGAGATAAAGCAGATCGTGTTCTTCTTTTCACCTGTCACATTATTTTACATTATGAAGCTTACCGTAGTTCCCCAGAACAGTTGAGCCAGTCACGTGTTTGTTTGTGTTATAGGACAACGGGAGAAAGCAGGAACAGGTGAGTCCAGCTGTGTATTGACAGGGGTTGCATTTTATATTGAAAGTCAACAGTGCCAAAGGTACTTCAAACAAAGTACTGAGTAAAGGGTCTGAATACTTACGTAAATTTGATATTTCCGTTTTTTATTGTTAATACATTTGCTACAAGTTTTTGCTTTGTCATTCTGGGGTATTGTGTGTAGATTGACGAGGGGATTTAAAAAAAAAATCCATTTTAGAATAAGGCTGTAACGTAACAAAATGTGGAAAAAGTGAAGGGGTCTGAATATTTTCCGAATGCACTGTATCTAAGTAAGTGCTGAATTAATAAGGTGACGGGGCATCATATTGTGTTAGCTTTCTGCCATGTTTGAGAAGTCAAAGCCCTTTGGATGAGTTATCTGTACAGCTGCCACTGCTATCTTTTGATTTCCTTGCGTTTTTCTCCTCTCTGTTCTCGGCCCGTCTCCTCCCCAATCTTCTCCGAGAAGAGCAGGCAGGTCCGTTGCCCTAGCGACTCCAGACTCGACACAGTTTGTACACATGCTGCTCCAGAGCCAGTACTTGTCCTTCAGACAAGCATGCGTCAAAACTTTGTTCATATGCACAATGTCTCTCGTTCACATTCGCTTGTAAATATCCAAACTCACCAAAAATGACATTCGGTAGCTTCTACCTATATATGTATAACTCTATGAGCTGGATTGCCTGTCTTTGCAATTTGTTTATTTTCGTTTGCGCTCGTTAGAATATTTGGCTAGCAGTCTCCATGGAAATTCACTATTACTTCTGTTAATTTTGTTAGCATTCGGGTAATAGACGCCCAATGCTGTGGTTTGTAGAATATTTGGTGCCCCCTTGTGTACTAAACCGGTATTACCGTACATCCCGGGATGAGAGAAGGATGGTATGAAGATATGAAAATCTGGACACCGCCCAACCCTATGAATCAATTGTTTGGTCCCCACAAGGATAGTAAAACAAACGTGTGTGTGTGTGTGACCCTCCCCGTCTCTATTTTTAGACCACATTTATAGCAGAGTGAAGTCAGACCTGTGGGAGGACTGGTTGATTAGTGCTGAGCAATTAACCGACATTTCAGTTATTTTTCGGTTTTTTAAACAACTAATTGACCGATGTCAGTTCAATAATCGGAATTCCATTTAGTTCATATTTTTTTCTGTGAGCTCAATGCGCACATAGCACAGTTTAATCAGATCCAGCCGGAACTGTGCGATGTAGGAGGGAGTTCGAACAAGCCAATATTCTACATAATTTAGTGCATAAAACATGGTAATTAACTACAATGACCATAATCCATTGCGCATCTACTTGTCCGGTCTGTGTTTATTTTACGCCTTCTACAGAGGAGACAGAAGAATGTACGATCGTGAAGGTAATATAGATACAGCTGTTGCTTCGCAAGTTATCGCTACCTGAAAATACATGAACTAAGTGATTGATAGTTGGTATTCAGCAGTCATAAAAGTATGCCTTATTAACATTTACATTTAAGTCATTTAGCATACGCTCTTATCCAGAGCGACTTACAAATTGGTGCATCCAACTTAGGATAGCCAGTGGGACAACCACATCTTCATCACAGTAAGTACACTTCTTCAAACAAGCAGCTGTGAGCAAAGTCAGTGCAATCAGGGACAACTACATCTCGATCACAATAAGTACATTTCTTTAAACAAGTGAGTGCTAGCAGGTGAAAAAAGTCAGGTGTTAGTTTAGACAAAAGACCGTGGTAGTAAAGGGGTGGGGTAGAATGATTACTATTATACTATTCCAGGTAGGGTTTCAAGTGTCTCCGGAAGGTGGTCAGTGACTCCGCTGTCCTGGCATCGTGGGGGAGCTTGTTCCACCATTGGGGTGCCAGAGCAGCGAATAGCTTTGACTGGGCTGAGCGGGAACTGTGCTTCCGTAGAGGTAGGGGGGCTAGCAGGCCAGAGGTGGATGAACGTAGTGCCCTCGTTTGGGTGTAGGGTCTGATCAGAGCCTGAAGGTAAGGAGGTGCCGTTCCCCTCACAGCTCCGTAAGCAAGCATCATGGTTTTGTAGTAGATGCAAGCTTCAACTGGAAGCCAGTGGAGTGTGCGGAGGAGCGGGGTGACGTGAGAGTACTTGGGAAGGTTGAACACCAGACAGGCTGCAGCGTTCTGGATAAGTTGCAGGTGTTTAATGGCACAGGCAGGGAGCCCAGCCAACAGCGAGTTGCAGTAATCCAGACGGGAGATGACAAGTGCCTGGATTAGGACCTGTGCCGCTTTCTGTGTAAGGTAGGGTCGTACTCTGCGAATGTTGTAGAGCATGAACCTGCTGGATCGGGTCACCGCTTTGATGTTAGCAGAGAACGACAGGGTGTTGTCCAGGATCACGCCAAGGTTCTTTGCACTCTGGGAGGAGGACACAATGGAGTTGTCAACCGTGATGGCGAGATCTTGGAGCGGGCAGTCCTTCCCTGGGAGGAAGAGCAGCTCCGTCTTGCCGAGGTTCAGCTTGAGGTGGTGATCCGACATCCACACTGATATGTATGCCAGACATGCAGAGATGCGATTCGCCACCTGGTTATCAGAAGGGGGAAAGGAGAAAATTAATTGTGTGTCGTCTGCGTAGCAATGATAGGAGAGACCATGTGAGGATATGACAGAGCCAAGTGACTTGGTGTATAGAGAGAATAGGAGAGGGCCTAGAACTGAGCCCTGGGGGACATCAGTGGTGAGAGCACGTGGTGCGGAGACAGATTCTCGCCACGCCACCTGGTAGGAGCGACCTGTCAGGTAGGACGCAATCCAAGAGTGAGCAGCGCCGGAAATGCCTAACTCGGAGAGGGTGGAGAGGAGGATCTGATGGTTCACAGTATCAAAGGCAGCAGATAGGCCTAGAAGGATAAGAGCAGAGGAGAGAGAGTTAGCTTTGGCAGTGCGGAGAGCCTCCGTGACACAGAGAAGAGCAGTCTCAGTTGAATGACCAGTCTTGAAACCTGACTGGTTAGGATCAAGAATGTAATTCTGAGAGAGATAGCAGGGGAGTTGGCTAGAGACGGCACGCTCAAGAGTTTTGGAGAGAAAATAAAGAAGGGATACTGGTCTGTAGTTGTTGACATCGGAGGGATCGAGTGTAGGTTTTTTGAGGAGGGGTGCAACTTTCGCCCTCTTGAAGACGGAAGGGACATATCCAGCGGCCAAGGAAGAGTTGATGAGCGAGGTGAGGTAAAGGAGAAGGTCTCCGGAAATGGTCTGGAGAAGAGAGGAGGGGATAGGGTCAAGCGGGCAGGTTGTTGGGCGGCCGGCCGTCACAAGTCGCAAGATTTCATCTGGAGAGAGAGGGGAGAAAGAAGTCAAAGCATAGGGTAGGGCAGTGTGAGCAGGACCAGCGGTGTCATTTGACTTAATAAATGAGGATCGGATGTCGTCAACCTTCTTTTCAAAATGGTTGACGAAGTCATCCACAGAGAGGGAGGAGGGAGGGGGAGGAGGAGGAGGATTAAGCAGGGAGAAGAAGGTGGCAAATAGCTTCCTAGGGTTAGAGGCAGAGGCTTGAAATTTAGAGTGGTAGAAAGTGGCTTTAGAGAGGAGGGAGTGAAAAGATGATAGGTCCGCAGGGAGTCTAGTTTTCCTCCATTTCCTGCCCAGAGCCTTGTTCTGTGAGCTCGCAATGAGCCGTCAAGCCACGGAGCAGGAGGGGAGGACCGAGCCGGCCGGGAGGATAGGGGACATAGAGAGTCAAAAGATGCAGAAAGGGAGGAGAGGAGGGTCGAGGAGGCAGAATCAGGAGACCGGAGGGAGAAGGATTGATTGGGAAGAGATGATAGGATGGAAGAGGAGAGAGTAGCGGGAGAGAGAGAGCGAAGGTTGCGACGGCGCATTACCATCTGAGTAGGGGCAGAGTGAGTAGTGTTGGAGGAGAGCGAGAGAGAAAAGGATGCAAAGTAGTGGTCGGAGACTTGGAGGGGAGTTGCAGTGAGATTAGTAGAAGAACAGCATCTAGTAAAGATGAGGTCAAGCGTATTGCCTGCCTTGTGAGTAGGGGGGGACGGTGAGGGGGTGAGGTCAAAAGAGGAAAGGAGTGGAAAGAAGGAGGCAGAGAGAAATGAGTCGAAGGCAGACGTCGGCAGGTTAAAGTCACCCAGAACTGTGAGGGGTGAGCCATCCTCAGGAAAGGAACTTATCAAGGCGTCAAGCTCATTGATGAACTCTCCAAGGGAACCTGGAGGGCGATAAATGACAAGGATGTTAAGCTTGAATGGGTAGTGACTGTGACAGCATGGAATTCAAATGAGGAGATAGACAGATGGGTCAGGGGAAAATGAGAGAATGTCCACTTGGGAGAGATGAGATTCTTGTGCCACGCCGCGCTGACCAGATGCTCTCGGGGTATGCGAGAACACATGATCAGACGAGGAAAGAGCAGTAGGAGTAGCAGTGTTTTCTGTGGTAATCCATGTTTCCGTCAGCGCCAAGAAGTCGAGAGACTGGAGGGTAGCATAGGCTGAGATGAACTCTGCCTTGTTGGCCGCAGAACGGCAGTTCCAGAGGCTGCCGGAGACCTGGAACTCCACGTGGGTCGTGTGCGCAGGGACCACCAGATTAGAGTGGTAGCAGCCACGCGGTGTGAAGCGTTTGTATGGCCTGTGCAGAGAGGAGAGAACAGGGATAGACAGACACATAGTTGACAGGCTACAGAAAAGGCTACAATAATGCAAAAGAGATCGGAATGAAATTAACTAAACATCTGGGGACGCGAGAGAGCGAGGCCTCCCTCGACTAACTCCCGCAGAACAACTTGGCAGAACTGTCTTTTACTTGGAAGAATAGTGATTTTGTCAGACAGCATAGGCAGCAGCTCTATAGAGATTAGATGATGACTTGGAATGAAATAATAAAGTCATCAAATAAAACAAACGTAATATAGACACCAACTGAAATATTTTATAAAGTAATGTGAATAAATTACTGTTAATAAGTGATAAGCAGTAAAGGGCAGTCACTACTGTCACGATCGTTTACTGAAGCGGACCAAGGCGCAGCATGATAGGCATACATACTTTATTGTGTACTTAACACCAACAAAACAACAAACCAAACGATACGTGAAGTCCTAGGTTAATACAAAGCAAACCTTACGGAACAAGATCCCACAATTAACTGTGCCAAACAGGCTGCCTAAGTATGGTTCCCAATCAGAGACAACGAGAATCAGTTGCCTCTGATTGGGAACCACCCTGGCCAACATAGATCCACACGATCTAGAACATGAACCTAGAAAACTAAACATAGAAACTAACACCCTGGCTCAACATTAAAGAGTCCCCAGAGCCAGGGCGTGACAACTACCATCATGGGACTTTTATTAATTGTTTTATTCTGTGTTGTTACAGCATTCAACCCACATAATGCATAGTGCATTTAATGTTTTTTTTTAATTTATCGAAACCAAAATCGAAAACCGTGATTATTTTTTAATAATCGATCCGAAAACAAACTGACCTCAAAAAGCACTAATCGCTCAGTACTACGGTTGATATACCACTCTATTCCCCTCTCTTCTGTAGTTCTCTCGTTCTCTTCCTTCCTCTCTCTCTTTCTCTATCTCTCCCTCTCGCTTGCCTTCTCCCCTCTTCCTACAGTCTGTCTACATTTCAATTGGTCTTATTCTCTATCTCCCTCTATATCTCCTTTGCTGCCTCCCCCCTCTATATGTGTCTCCTCTGCTAGGACATGTTGACAGCCCCCACCCTGGCTTCACTTAAACAGAAAGGAGGGTCCCATAAATGCCCTGGGAAAACATTCAGTCATGGAAAGTAACTACAAGACTTTACTGCTGTTTGAAAGGCCTCTCCACAACTGAAATGAGATGGCAGTAACAGCCCACCAACAATGGAACCTGAGACTCTGAGCCTAAATGTGTTGAGTGTTAAAGAGAGCACAGTCAGATAAGATTAAACAATATTTACAGTTACTTGAGCTGTCCTGAAGTCTACTTAGTTACCTTTGAGCTCAGATGAGGATGGCCATTAGCAGCTTTATAATGTTCTCTCTCTCCCCCCTGCAGGGACCTGCAGGCCCTGTCTGATTGATGTGGTCCCTGTGAAGAACGCAGAGGGACAGGTCATCATGTTCATCCTCAACTTCCAGGAAATCATTGACCCCTCCCTCAAGAAACCAGGGCTGAGACAGAGGATGGCCCAGGGCTGGGTAGGGGCAGGTCAGTGTGGAAAGTGTGTGTGCGATGATAATGTCTGTCTGTCTGTCTGTCTGTCTGTCTGTATTAACCTGTTTATTCCATTACTCTACGTTGAATGTAGCTGTGTTATAACATACAGCATGTGACTACATCCTGGAAGGTGTGCTTGTGTTTTTATGTAAAGTGTATGTATAAGCACTCTCTGGTTTCTCAGGGCAGAGTCGCAGGCTGAAGTTGAGACTGCCATCAGTGCGTGCAATGCGTCGGCCTTCCCTCGCCAAAGACCAGTTTGAGGGGGTGGTGGTGGACTACCTACAGGTAAGGTGGCCAGAGACTCCCATACACATATAGGCCTATACACACAGTACTCGTCTAAATATGACCTTACCTAAAATATATCTTGATTATCTCAGTTCCTGTATCTCATATTTTGTAATGAAGAAAGCTTCAGTCATCACATACATTTAGCAGTAAGTAGAAATCTAGTACAGTATTTAACCTATGAGTGTCCTCTCCCTCCTTCCCTAATTCAGCCCAACAGTGAAGAGGTCCCTCTGAAGGAGTTCCGTATCCCGTCCAAGGAGAGCTGCATGCAGTCTGAGACAGAGGCGCTGATAGAGCAGGACTACGAGTCCCCCCAGCCTGCAAGCTACTGCTCCCCCAAACGTCTGTCCCTATTGTCGGAGCGGCTGGACCCCAGCGTTCCCTTCCTCCCCAGCGGCCCATTCTCCAGTGCAGCCTTCCCCAGGACGGTCCTGCCCCGGAGCCGCTCAAGAGAGACTGTCGGCAGCCTCCGCAGAGCTTCCTCCCTGGATGACCTCGACAGCATGAGGGCCGAGTCGGGCCGAACAGGAGACCCACGCTCCAACAGCAGTGAGTGCGTGTGTGTATATGTGTGTGTGTACCCAGTCAAACGTGTAGTCTGTTTCCATTGTTGTACCCCCTCTGACAGGAAGAAATGTGGCTGTCTCCTCTTACAGTTCCATCTGAATCAAAACAAACCAAGCCAAAGCTACCTGGGCCTGTTGGAGGTATTCTGCTCTGTAGAAAGGAGAATCCTCACCCCCATTCCCCAAGCACTGAGCATGTGAAGCAGGGTCACTAATCAATGCCTCTACCCTATAGTGTGTGTGTGTGTGTGTGTGTGTGTGTGTGTGTGTGTACATGTTGTACTATACTTGTGAGTACCAGAAGTCCTCACAAGAATAGCAAACCAACAAAAATTCAGAGAAGTCAGGACATTTTGCCGGTCCTCACTTGTAAAAAGGCTATTTTAGTCTAAGGGGTTAGGTTTAAAATTATGGTCAAGGATAGGAAAAATAGTATTTTTAATGGGAATCAATTGTTGGTCCCAAAAAGTCCTCACAAGTATAGTAAGACATAGCTGTGTGTGTGTGTTCTATAGGAGTCCCAGTCACGCAGAGGCCATCCTTTACTCATCACACAGCTAATACTATGGAGTGTGGGGCTGTGGGCTTCCCATCTATCCCAGGGAAATAAGACACTCCCTCTCACTTCATTACTCTATCTCTCTCAATTCAATTTAAGGGCCTTTATTGGCATGGGAAACATATGTTTACATTTCCAAAGCAAGTGAAATAGATAACAAACTCCCTCTGTATCTTTCTCACTCAGATGCTTTGCTGAGTTTAAACCAAGATGTTTCTCACCTAGAGGAATGGGAATTGTGTTATAACACATTACATTTTTGGTTCTGAATGTGTTACTTGCAGTTTAAATAAAGGATTTGAGCGGTAATATAATATGTGAACTTGTCGTTAAAAACAGATAGATACACAGTAATGAGAGATGAGTGTTGTTGTGTGCAGACCTGAAGGCCGGTACTCTGAGCTCCACCTCAGACTCAGACCTGATGCGACGCAGGACCAGCACTCGCAGGACCAGCACTCGTAACCCCCTCACACTCAGCTTCGCCTCCGACCTCTTGCGACCGCCCTCGCCCACTGAGATCGAGATCATCGCTCCCAGCAAAGTAAAGGACCGCCACCGAGACGTCACAGAGAAGGTCACACATGTCACACAGGTGAGACACATGGTCCTCACTCGCACTCATATCACACAACCAGTCAACCTGTATTCTGCTTATATATTATGGGATTTTGAAAGTGAGCTTTTTCAGAATGGCATGTGAGATATTCTGTACACAGGATGTTTGGTAAAAGGAACGTTGGGTTATTGAGAAATGGTAGATTACATATTTTCGGTCTGGCTTCCTGTGTTGCAAGCTTTCTGCTGAGGATGCAGCTGCATGTCACTCAAGAGTTTCCACACGCATCCACACACACACATACACACACACACACACACACACACACACACACACACACACAAACAGGAAGATGATATATATAATGATAATAATACAGTTTTCTTCAATCGCTTTGGTGCTAATGTCAAAAGTATGTGGTGAATTTTCTAAACTCTTAACACAAAACTCCAAAATGGTAACACGGCAAGTCTCATATAACTTTTTATTGTACATTTATTTTGTTTGAAGACATTTTTCACGACACAACCATTAATCCAAAATATAAATTTACTGTGAAATACCACGTAAACATTGATTTAATCATCAAAAAACACCATAATAATGTCTTCTAAATGTAGTTATTTTAACAACTAGTTAATCCAAGAGCAAAATAGTTTCAAAATGTCCCTTTGAATATAATATGCAACAGTACTGTCAATTACAGTACTGTTTTCACATTAGACAATAAATACACTTGCACTACCTATTAAAATTGACTGAACATCAAATTTCGATCATTTCTATCACGTGTGATCGTTCACAATCATTGAAAAATTAAAATATGTATTGTTCAGATATAATTACAACATAGGTGTACTGTAATCAAATTAAAGAAATTAAAGAAACATAACGTTTAGCAGGCACTAGTTTGCATCAACCCTGTCTTGAGCATTTGGCCACAGGTTCTCATCGACATCGCAGTAAATGTCCTCATTTTTCATGCACCTGGGGAAAAACCTTTTGGCATGGAGAATCCAAGCCTGACGAAGCATGGATTGATGTCATTGCATGCCTCAATCATGGCCTGAAGGAGAGTGGTATGCTCATGGGGATGACAATCATACATCTGTATTGTACTTGTGTATTGTAGTGGTCTTGTATGTGGCTCAGTTCGTAAGAGCATGGCACTAGCAACACCAGAGTTGTGGGTTCGATTCCCACTGGGGTCACATACGAAAATATAAACACTCACTGTTGTCACTTTGGATAAAAGCATCTGCTATGTAAATGGCATATATTACGGTATTACAGTACTGTACTGGCCAATGCACACAAGCCTAAGATCATCATGCTCAATGCCAAGCGTCGGCTGGAGTGGTGTAAAGCTCGCCGCCATTGGACTCTGGAGCAGTGGAAACGCGTTTTCTGGAGTGATGAATCACGCTTCACCATCTGGCAGTCCGACGGACGAATCTGGGTTTGGCGGAATGCCGGTAAAACGCTACCTGCCCCAATGCATAGTGCCAACTGCAAAGTTTGGTGGAGGAGGAATAATGGTCTGGGGCTGTTTTTCATGGTTCAGTCTAGGCCCCTTAGTTCCACTGAAGGGAAATCTTAACGCTACAGCATACAATGACATTCTAGACCAGGGGTGTCAAACTCATTTTAGCTCAGGGGCCACATGGAGGAAAATCTATTCCCAAGTGGGCCGGACCGGAAAAATCATGGTATATATATAACTTAAAAACAACAACTTCAGATTGTTTTCTTTGTTTTAATACGATCAACATACAACATAAAGCTGGAGCCTGAGGACAGTGTGAACAAAATAGTACAAGCACAACATCACTATTAATCATAAAACACGTCAAGTTTATTTGAAAATTCTAAAGAAAAAGAACACACAAACACACAATGCCTCAGTGATTAACAGAACTGTTTCACAGATCACAGAACTATATCAGGGTGTCATTTCTCAGGCAGAAATGTAGATAAAAATAATGAAATCCTGTTCCCCAAACAAGTGCAAGAACCACAGAGTCAAGAATAGGTTAAATATACAAATAAAATAAAATCAATTAAAAACAATAGCACATCAACATAAAAACATATAAACATAAATCTGAAAGCGTTGCTCAAACTCCCGTAACAGTCCCGTTATTTTATCTTTGAACCGCTTCATGTCTGCCACATGTTGGGTCGCGCACACATTTTTCAGACAGGGGAAGTGAGCTGCTTCACCACCGGCAAGTTGTGTCTCCCACAATGACAGCTTCAACTTGAAAGAACGTATGCTGTCATAATACTGCATGACAACTTTGTTGCGCCCTTGCAGCTGTTTGTTCAAGTTATTCAGGTGCTCTGTAACATCCACCATAAATGCAAGGTCCTGCATCCATTCTGCGGAATGAAATTCTAACACTGGTTTGCCCTTTTCTTCCATGAACTGTTCAATTTCTTCTCGTAAATCAAAGAAACGCCTCAGCACAGCACCTCGGCTTAACCATCTTACCTCAGTGTGGTATGGCAGGCCATAGATGTGGTCTTTCTCTCTGAGAAGGCTGTCAAACTGACGGTGATTCAGGCTACTGGATCGGATGAAATTAACAGTTTGGATGACCACCTTCATGACGTTATCCATCTTTAATGACTTGCAACACAAAGCCTCCTGGTGCAAAATACAGTGAAAAGTCAAAAAATCACGTCCTCCATTTGCAGATTGCACTTTCTCTCTGAACTTTGTCACAACGCCTGCTTTTTTCCCGATCATTGAGGGCGCACCATCTGTAGCCAGGCTCACAGCGCGGGACCAGTCCACTCCGACCCTGTCCAGCGCGCCGACGAGTGCGGTAAAAATATCAGCTGCTGTCGTTGTATCTGTCATCGGCACCAACTCCACGAACTCCTCGGTGACGGTCAATGTGTCATCAACTCCGCGGATGAAAATGGCCAGTTGTGCAACATCTGTAATGTCCGTGCTTTCATCAATTGCAACCGAAAACGCAATAAATGACTTTACTTTTTGCTTCAACTGGCTGTCCAAATCCACTGAAAGATCGGAAATCCTGTCTGCAACTGTGTTTCTTGTCAGGCTGATATTTGCAAAAGCCTGCCGCTTTTCAGGGCACACAATCTCCGCTGCCTTCATCATGCATGTTTTTACAAATTCACCCTCACTAAATGGTTTTGAAGCCACTGCGATTTCATTAGCAATGAGGTAGCTAGCTTTCACTGCAGCGTCACTGATGTCTCGGCTGTGAGTAAACACAGACTGCTGTTTCTTCAGACCCGCCAACAGTTCATTCACCTTCTCTCATCTCCGCTGTCCTTGAAAGTTGTCATATTTGTCGGCATGAAGACTCACATAGTGGCGACGAAGGTTATATTCTTTCAGCACTGCAACATGCTCTGAACACACCAAACATACAGCTTTCCCATTCAATTCCGTGAATAAATAGGATGACCATTTTTCTTGGAACACTCTGCACTCTGCGTCCACTTTTCTCTTTTTTGACAGAGACATATTGGGGCAATGAGGGTGCCAAAGCACATAATGTTAAAAGTAGAAGCCGTAATAAATATCGTGGGCAAAACAAAGTAGCTCATTGGCTGCACGTGCTTGACCTACTTGCTCTGCCCCGGTATAAACAGTTTGCTTGCTTAACACAATTGCTATTGCGCCATCCAGTGGACGCAATTGGAACAGCAGTTTATTTTATTGAAAAATTGCAGCGCATTTTTATACTTTACAATTTTATTTTTTATTTTTTATTGTTATTATTATTATTTTTTCAAAATCATCTCGCGGGCCGGATTAAACCCGTTTGCGGGCCTGATCCGGCCCGCGGGCCGGACGTTTGACACCCCTGTTCTAGACGATTCTGTGCTTACAACTTTGTGGCAACAGTTTGGGGAAGGCCCTTTCCTTTTTCAGCATGACAGTGCCCCCGTGCACAAAGCGAGGTCCATATAGAAATGGTTTGTCAAAAACGGTGTGAAAAAACTTGACTTGCCTGCACAGAGCCCTTACCTCAACCCCATCGAACACCTTTAGGATGAACTGGAACGCCGACTGCGAGCCAGGCCTAATCGCCCAACATCAGTGCCCGACCTCACTAATGCTCTTGTGACTGAATGGAAGCAAGTCCCTGCAGCAATGTTCATACATCTAGTGGAAAGCCTTCCCAGAAGAGTGGCGGCTGTTATAGCAGCAAAGGGGGGACCAACTCCATATTGCTGAACATAATTTTGGAATGAGATGTTCAACGAGCAGGTGTCCACATACTTTTGGTCATGTAGTGTATAAGAGGATATTATCTCCTGTAGAAACCATGTTGTTGGCTACATGGATGGAGATGTTATTTAGCATCACTACTGTACTATATGCTCTTGTCTCTCTGCATGTATGTGAGAGGGAGAATGGGGAAAAGACAGTTTGTATGTGTGAAAGAAAGATCTCACCTTCCATAGTGTGACATCTGTGCCAGCAGAAGAACTTCTCACACCCACCTGTCATCACACTAAGTTTGCGTACATCATCATAACCTGTAATGTCATTGAAACACTAACACAGTGAGATGACCCCACAACACCACTGCGTAGCACACTGACCCACATGTCTGTTGTGGGACAGTCAGTGGCCACTGGCCAGATGAACCCACACACTAACCCTGCCCTGACTTCACTTGTCCACTACAAGTGGAGCAATATGACTCAATATTAAGGATTTTTGTGGTATTACTAGATGTGTGTGTGTGTCAAGTGAACATACATGTCTTATGACAGTACATTTGAGTGTTATAACGGGTGTTTATATCATCAGAATTTACTTGATAGCTTGTGAATGGGCAGTTTGACTTGTTGCTAATGCTAATGTTAGCATTGCTCTGAGTGAGAGGAGAGCTCTTGAGGTTGTCGTGTCGATGCCCCCTGCCTTGCTCGCTGGGTGCACATGGGAGGCAATGTGGCATGCCTCCAGTTACTACCAATGGAAAAATCGATCGGGCTAATAGATGCCCCCCTCTCCACTTCCTCCAAGCCTGCTCCTGGTAGAG